ATGAATGTTAGCCTGTTTCCCTCATTGCTGGATCCCCAGCACCTGGAACAGTGCCTGGTATTTAACAGGTGCCCACTAAATATTTGCTAGTGAATAAATATATATTCTTCAGCGGTGTGTGCGGATCGCCTGAAGCACCCAGGTGCAAAGTGGGCATTTTTGTAAAGTGCTATGCTTTAAGAAATCCACATGTGTTTTGTATTTTATTCTAGAATACATAGACATATGCTTTCCTGTAAGCATGCTTTCCTTCAAAGTCCTCTAGCCAGATTGGTAGTCAAGGAATATTTGCTTACTTGTTGCCATTCTGAGCCAGTATGGACATAATCTTAGAAACACAGCCTTCAGTTTTAGGAGCTTCATTTTATCTTGACATAAATTAGTTATGGGGTCCTTGCTATGTAGGGGAGGTGAGAGCACACACATTAGACTACACAGGTATTTGCAAGGCATAGAAATACATTCAAGGGGGTACCCCCCCCCAAACAGAATTTTTTCTAAGCTAGGTATTAAATTTTTTTTTACAAAACCACCTTATCACCTTCAAAGTACTCTCCATTAAACTTAATACACTTGTCAGATCTGCGATGCCATTCTTGGAAACAATTTTCAAACTCATCGGTTTTGATGGCTGATAGCACCTCCCATGTTTTTTCTTCACCTCTTCAAATCACTGTCCTTTTATGTCCCTTTCCATTCGTGGAAACAAAAAGAAGTTGCATGGAATTAGGTCAGGTGAGTCAGGTGCATGGGGCAAGAGAGGCATCCTGGTTTTGATTTTTTTTTTTTTTTTGCCCAAAACTGGCACACTGAGAAGGTTGCATGAGCAGGTGGATTGTCATGGTGTCAAAACCAGTCCCCTGTCTGCCACAAATCTGGCCTTTTTGTTGCACACTGTTTCATAATCTTTTCAGAACCTATAAATAGAAAGCTTGATTAACATTCTGACCTGGTGGAGCTAATGCTAAATACACAAAACAAACAAACAAAAAACCAAATGAGCATGATCTCGATCTTTGATTTCACTTGATGGGCCTTTTTTGGGGGGAGGTGATGATGGCATCTTCCACTAGCTTGACTGATGTTTGCTTTTGGGATTGTAAGAATAGTACGATGTCTTGTCACCAGTAATGACCTTGGGGAAAAAAAGCCCGGGTCCCTTTGGAGCTGTTCTTTCAAAGCACAGCATGTTTCCAGTCGATGCTCTTTTCCCTGGTCAGTCAGAACCTTCTTCTGCCCAAGTCTCCCGTTAAATTTGCTGAACCAAGCTCCAAGATAGTCCAGATCACTTCAACAATCCGTCGTCTTCGGTCTTCGAGCACAAGTGCATGCATTTTGTCAACATTTTGTCTGTTTGGAAAGTTGATGGATGTCCAGAGCAAGGTTTGGACATTTCATCTTTTTTGAAATGAGAAAACCACTCGTACACTTGGGTTTTCCCCCCAGAATGCTGTCCTTGTAAGCTGTGTTCAACATCACAACAGTTTCTGCAGCATTTTTCCCAAACAGGAAATAAAATTTAACAGCTGCATGCTGTTCTTTTAAATCGGCCATCACAAAAAATGAGGTTTGAGTTTAAGTGCTTTTATGAAAAAATTCACTGTGACCAGAGAGAACCTTCCCAGGGGATCCCACTGGGTGCACTAATCAGCTCCAGTTGCTAGTGTACTATGAGAGCTCCGCCCAATGGAGACTAGAAAGCTCTGCCCAATGGAGTTTCCCTTTTTCTTTTTGGGGTGTGTGTATACCCCTTCATATCAGGTCCACAAAGCTGGAGATAGCAAACAAATGATAAATAGCACAATCTGAGTGGAGCCCTGGTGGCCGGGTGCTTACGCACTGGACTGCTAACTGAAAGGTCAGCAGAGGAAACACCAGTGTCTGCGAGGGAGAAAGACAGGGCTTCCTCCTCCTGTAAAGAGTTACAGTCTCGGAAACGCACGGGGCAGCTCTACCCTGTCCTACGGGCTCACTATGAGTAGGCATTGGCTCGATGACTGTGAGTGAGATAATATGAGTGTGATTGGAAAATGTGAGGGGTTTTTTAACGCTCAGTGGAAAAACTCTGGTGTCTTTTCAGTCTATTTTTCTACAAGCATTTTGAAGCCCACTCATCTATAACAGGATACAAGTCAAGGAAAACAACCCTTTATGCTTCAAGATTCTAAAGCTAGTGAATAGTATCAAAGTTTGATTCTTCTGTCTTTTTGTCTTGGGGATGTCAAGAGAAAGTGACCTTCGTGGTGCTATGAGGGATAGCCTTTTCCCTTGGGAGAGGGGTGAGGGGAGAACTAAAATTCACCAGCCAGTGGGAACCACTGAATCAGTTCCTCCTCCTCCTCCTCCTCCTCCTTTTTCCTGATGCTACTTTGCATTCGTCTTGTCTCCACTCTACTGGGTTTCCTTCGTTCTCCGGAGACTTGACAGCATAAAAGAAAGAAGAAGAAGAAGAAAAACTTCCCCAAAACTTGGACCAAAGTTCAGAAGAAAAATGAGTTCAATGTGGGGGATCTGAGTGCTAAGCAGTCTAAGCAACACGTGGCTCTGGCTGACAGTCCCTTTTGGCAAAACACAGGGAGGGACCTGGCCAGCCTCCCCCCAGGCCTGTAGCAGCCCAGAAGGGTCACCTGGCGAGAACACTGGGCTCAGTGGAGGAGCCTCTGAGCCCCTGCCCACGGGGGCACTTCCCAGTCTGCAAAGACAGGGTGGACAGTGCTCCTTGGGGGCAGAAGGCGGAAGCGAGGCCGCTTGGTCCGTTTCTGCGACAGAGAGTGTGGAGGTGAATTCATAAGGTAGGCTTCCTCGATGGAAATCATTGTGTCATGAGTTGATGAATTGGGCTTCATCACGGCCAAGGTGAACGCATCAGTGGCGCTTTGCCATGATGTAGAACTACCTGCGTTTACACTCTGTAACTGACCCATTGTCAGCCTGGAGTGGAGCGCTCTTTGTTGAAGGGTTCATTTGCAGATGTGGAGGTGACCCCCAGTGTTCTGTCATTTGTTCTTCAGAGCGTCTCTGCCCATGTTCCAGTGATACAGGGACCCCACCCCCCACCAGGTGGGTAAGAAGAATCTCTCCCTGAGCAAAACCTACCTTAAAGCTCCTCCTTGACAGAAGGAAGGTAGGGCACCTGAGAGCCCCCCAAGATGGCACCTCCAATTTATCATGTGTGTAAAAAGTCTGCTTCTTTCTCCCTGCCTCCCCTGCAGCCCTTGAGACTCCTCCTTTGGCAAGCCGTCTTTCCCCGCCTGCTCCTCAGCACCCTTCTCCTTAATGCACAGCAGGGCAGCTGCGCCTGCCTTTCTTCTCCACCTACACGTTCATTGAAAGCCACAGCCTCCCATGTCAGCTCTTTCCCTTCAGCTCATCAACAGGTCGAGAGGAACTAAAACACACGCAGGAAAGACATTCACTCTCAGCCCCCAGCCCGGGGGGCACATGTGGAAAGAGATAATCAAGGATCTACAGGAGAATTCTGGATAGTGGCAGAATCTGGAGACAATCTGCCAAAGAAGGCCAAAATAATTCGAAGAATGCATGTCCTTGGGTACAAAAAATACCACCACCACCACCACCACCACCAAAAACCCCAAACAAACAAACCACCAAGTCAGTTGCTTTCAAATTGACTCCAACTCACGGTGAGGTGACCCCCCCCCCCCTCGCCCAGTGTGCTGCAGTTAGAACCATGCACCGCAGGATTTTCAGGACCTTTTAGGAGTAGACCACTAAGCTTCTCTTCGAAGGTACTGCCAACATTTTGTTTAGTTAGGGCCTTAACCATTTACACTGCCCAGGGATTCATTGAGTACACCCCCAAACCTACTGCCACTGAGTCAATTCCAACCCTATTAGCAATCCCACCTAGTGGTTCTAAGACTGCTCATCTTGATGGAAGCAGACAGCTTCATCTTTCTCCCCTGGAGCAGCTGGTGGGCTTGAACTGCCAACCTTGTACTAACAGCCCAACACCTAACCCACAGACCAACCTCGCATACAAGGTTGTCTTGTTTCTATCTACATTTGCTGGCGGACCTCAGACAGTGACTGTGACAGAGGACAGAGAGTTAAAAAAAAATGAGCTGGATCCTTGTATGACTCCAATGTTGGCTTGGGTATCATGAGGACCTACACACATGGTAGCAGAACCCTACGGGGTAGAAATCTGAGCCTTGGCCGTGTGGTTTAACTTCCTGCTTCATAGATGGACCATTGCAGACACTGTCTGTAGGGCTGTGTGCAGTGGAATGGATAAGTTGCTTGGGGTGTGGAATCAGACTTTGGGCTCATTCTTGGCTCTCGTACTTTATAGCTACCTGACTCGGAGGTCCTTTAAACAAGCTAAACCTTTGTTTTCTCATCTTTAATACAGGCATTATTAGCACCTTGCTCATGAAGCTGTGATGAGGATTAAATGAGGGGACCACGGACAGTTCCCAGCCCCCACATCTACCCAGGAAGCATGCTTTCATTGCTCTGATGTAGAGATCAGGGCAGAAAGGCCACTATAAAGTTCACGCAATCATCATCCAATGGGAATTCTAAAAGCATGTGTGCTGAGTGCTGATCAAAAGCCACTTGGTAAATGGAGACCAAGCTATTTCACAAGTGGGGGAGTGCACTTTGTGCCAATCAGCTCATTCTCTGCTGGATTCCATCCCATCAGGCACAGCAGACTGCCTGGCAGGCAGGCAGGTCGGGGCTGGGCGGAACTCTGCCCTCCTGCTGGAGAGCTCCGCTCCTGCCTGCAGGCAGTGTATGCAGAGTGGAGCTTCTTCCTGCCATAGCTTCTCCTTGGGGCTGCTACTGGGGCCTGATGGATCCCACCCTCAGCGAAACCACAAAAGAGGAACATGAAACTTTGCACAGCACTTTTCGATTCATCATCGCTTTGGCGGCAGGATTACTCCCTAGTGGCTGAGGTGAGTGCAAGTGAGGCCAAGGGGATTGCACAAGCCCACAAACCCAGAGCTGGCCCGTCTTCCATGGTGTCTTACATTTGGTGGCAGATAGTTGGGATTTATACTGTCCTCGGACCAGCCGGCAGGTGGACCCGTCTCCATGGCAGACCCCGCAGGTATCTTCCTTGACGGTGCTTCCCAGCTGGTGATCACAGCCAACAATCTAATGAGAGCGAGAAAGAGAGAGAAGAAAATTCAACTGGGCGCCTATCCATGGAAAGATCCATTGTAAGGCCAATCACCACCCAATCCCCCGCCTTCCTCCCAGAGGAGGCATAAAACAGACTTTCCATGAAGGGAACGGAGTTCGGCTGGATCCCGGGTCAAGTTAAGGAAGAAAAATGTAGCACGGGTAAAGATGTTTTTATAGTTCCGATACACAAACAGAAAGGATAAGCCAAAGAGTGAAAGAGACTGAGAGAAGAGAGACAGACCCGGGACTGTCAATGTTGTTCTTGGGAGCCATCAAGCTTTATCTCAACTCAAAGTAACCCAGTGGGGCAGAGGAAACCTGCCCCATAGGGTTTTCTAAATTGTAACCTTTACAGAAGCAGAATTCTCAGTCTTTTCCCTGGGAAGAGCTTTTGAGTCGGTTTGAATGGCCAACCTTGCAGTTAGCAGCCTAGCACTTAGCCATTGTACCATCCAAGATTCTTATTTTATAAAACCATAATTAAAACAAAAACTGTTAATAATGAAGATTCCCAAACCAGGAAAAATGCAGCCATGATTGATCTACAGCAGGTGATATTTTACAGCTTAAAAATACAAAAAATTCAAAGAACCTCCATATTCTATGAATTTGCCAAAACATATACAGCACCAAAATTAAGGTTTAGTATGTTGGGTGCAATTGATGTGTTCCAAGAAATGAAAACACAGTTGAGAAAATTTATGTTCTCAACAAATACTTGCTAATACAGAGGGCAAAGTTATGACTACTTCCTAGACATAACAAAACTCCTCAGGGACATCAGTCCTTGGGCCTGGGGGATGAAGACCATCGTCTCAGGGGACAACAAGGCTAGAGGCACAGCACAGTTCACAGAGACAGTGTGTGTGACTCGGGTCTCAAATCCTCATGAGCAGCTATCTAAGGTGCAGCTGCTCGCCACCGGGGGGGTCTCTTTCCACCTGGAGGAAAGAGGAGCCATGGGAACTGAGAGCTAAATAGAAGCAAGTAGTCCAGTGGATAATGGGTCACACAAACACCAGCCTCCATGACCGGAAGCACCAGCTGGTCTCTGGCAACCATGACCAACATGCTGAAAAAGATCACATGATAAGGTTCTGGAGAGAGTGGGACATATAATTGGAAGGAAACTCAAAATCCTAAAGGAGATCAGGTATATTGGTCAGAAAGAGACAGGTGGGACCCTGGGGACTAAGGTCCTTGTCCTGCAGGTCTGAAAGGGAACACATCCAGGTCAGCTCATCAACCATTTGCGAGCAGAAGGGCAGCACTGACTCAGGGGCCAGTGAGGAAAAGAAGAGGACGCAGGACACGCAGGGAGGGGGCGGAACGAGTGATGACACACGGAATTGCAGTCAGCGGACACAAAGTGCATATGAACTGTTGAGCATGAAGCGACCATCTGCTCAGCACAGCTTCACCTAACGGGGGAGAGGGGGGACAGCAGTGATGACGAGGAGAAAGAAGAGATGGCCCTGAAATTGATGGTGGTCGTGACTGCATGACTTAATAGGACTGAACTATTAAATTGTATGGGATGTGAATTATATGCCAGTACTACCTACTTGAACGATAATAAAAATATTTCCCAACCTAGCTCTTCAATTCAGAAAAGAGAGCCAGCTGACTGAGATAGGTTAGTAGATGTGTGTAGGTGCAGCATGTTCACAGGGAGGGAAGCAGGGGTCACCAGTACTGGACAGCCCCACTATTTGATCTTGCCCCGTGCCAGAAACAATAAAAATGCCTCGTTAATTGTTGAAACAATCACGTGAGTCATTACTATCCTCATTGTACAGTTAAAGATCCTGTCCAGGGTCACTCAGCTGATAAGTAGCAAAGCTCCAAATAAATCTAACAAAACGTTTCTGCTCAGTCCTAATCAGGCCGAACAAGAGCACTAGCCTTTATAAAATATGTGGACAAACTCATATAAATTTTTACTCTCTATAATGTCTGAATTAAAAAAAACACAAAAATTCAATCCCCAGCTGTCCCAGCTCCAGTACTCATTAACAAACGACTTCCACACCTTCTTTGACCAACTCAGATGAGAAGGGGCTCCTCTCCACCCACCGCACCCTCGCAATTCCTCCTGTCTTCTCCACATCCAGTTGTCAATGTGAACTTTCCGAGGCTCGAGTTTAATAAGCACAAACACATGTGCAGGCCAAAGTTTAACAGTACAATTATATAGCATTGTGTTAGAGGAGTGTTATATGTTTTCTAAATGTGCTCATGTGCTTTTTAAGAAAACAAAAGGAAACACAAACAAGCCTTTTTAAAAAATAGATGACAGGCAACCAGCCTGTACCTGCTTTACATTTTCTGAAAAGCAAGGGTGTGGGGACTGCTCGGTGCTGGTGGTGGGGACGGAGACTCGCTGGCCCTCTCCCCTGGGCTCGCGGTGGTCAAGCAGCAGGCTCCTTAGTCTGTTCGGAGGTTGCAGGGAGGCCGCTTCACAATTCTTCCAAACGTCAGCTGTGCACAGCCAGGCACGTGCTGGCTTCAGACTCCTTTGGTGTTCTTCCTAACGCCCATAGGATTAGTTTAAAAAGTCCTATCTCTAGACAGACCCACTGATGGGTGGATTAAGTCTGTGTTACCTCAGAGGGTCCAAATACAATGTGAAGCAGGAATGCTGAGGTGCCTTATTGGCTAAAATGTATTCAATCATTCAACCAACATTCATTGAGGACTTGTGTGGGGCCGAGCCCTGCGGTAGGTGCTTGGGGTCCCGGGGTGAGTAGAAGCCTTTATGAACATACCTCTTGAGGGACTTACAGTCTAATGTTGGAGGCAGACACGACTCAAATCACCACCCACAATCAAGGTAAATTGGTGATCCCAATGCAGGCCAAGAACACAGAGACATGATGCTCTGAAGGCAGAAAGTATGAACAATTAGATGTGGTTATGAAGGCCAGAGAAGCCTTTCCTGAGGAGAAGGCTTTGGGGATGAAATGTGCGTGAGGAATCAGAACTCACTAGAGGAAGAGGAGATGCTGCTGCCCGGATGCTCGTCCATGAGAAAGAAAGGCAAAGGCAAACCCAGTGAGCATAACAAAAAATGCCAGAAGACAAGACCATGCGATTCGACCCACAGGGCTGAACCCTTTGAGAGACACGGGGTCTTCATTTAGGCAGGATCTGAAGCACCATAGAATCCAGTGATGTCCTAGAGCAGTGGTTCTCAACCTTCATCATGCCGCAACCCTTTAGTACAGGTCCTCATGTGGTGGCGACCCCCCAACCACAACATTATGTGCGTTGCTACTTCATAACTGTCATTTTGCTACTGCTATGAATCATCATGTAAATATCTGATATGCAGGATGTCTTTTCATTGTTACAAATTGAACGTAATTACAGCATAGTGACTAATCACAAAAACAACATGTAATTATATATTGTGAAATATTTATTTCTAATGACAAATCAATGAAATGTTGTCTTGAAGCATGGGGTAGCCTGGGTAGCAGTCTTCATGCTGGGTACTCGCAGGTGGGCATAGCTGCATGTGGGTGGACCCCCCTGGAGACGGATAGAAGAGCGCTGTCTCGGTTCCTAAGACCATCGGAAATATGTGTTTTCCAATGGTCTTATGTGACCCCTGTGAAAGGGTCGTTCGACCCCCAAAGGGGTCGGGACCCACAGGTTGAGAATCGCTGTTCTAAAGGGTTGGAAAAAAAAATATGGCCATACTCTTGCAAGTGGCTGAGCTCTGTGGAAGGGCAAACTCAGGAGAGATCAGGAGACTCTATATTGTCAGGTGTATCTCAAGTCTACTTGGATTTAATCCTCAAATTACAGGAATTTCAAGTCTCTGAAAGGATTTAAATTTCTCTGGAAAACTTTTGATGGCCTCTAACAACTCAAATGGAGCCAAAGAAGACAGGCATTCAAAAAGGAATCCGGCAGACGGCTTTTGGTACTGCAGCCATCTTAAGAAAAGAACGATTCAGCTTCGCCAATCCATAGCAGCAGTCAGTTTAGGAACAGTTACAGAAGAGGGGACATAACTTCCAGGGCAAACTGGCCAGAGAGGGAGACAGGGCTCTTAGTACAGTCCACGGAGCCCAGGATATGAGCCCAGTTGGTTCTAACGGGGCTTTAATGTCAGAGTTTAAAAGATTAACATCTGGCACCACTCTTTCTTTTTTTCTTTCTTTCTACCAATTGTTCTTCAAGGTGCCAAATTATTCTAGCTCAGTTATTTTAAAAACATGTGATATTTTATCACAAGATTGATCTTTGGACCCGGTGAAAATGTCTCACAGTTATATCATGCAAATCATCGCTGTAAAGCCTCTATCATGGCTCTTAAATAGCTGCCCATTACAAGGTTGTAAAATGGTTACTTCCTTATTATTAATAACACAGAGATAAAAACCAGGAATATCTAGATGGATCTAATAAGCACTTACAATGCCAGACCCCTCTAAGCCTTTGCTGGGGATGCTCTTCACCCAATTCTTTTTTAACAAACCCCTATTCATCCTTTAAGACTCCAATGAAGTCTCTTCTCAGAAAACTTTTCTTAGATTCCAGACAGCAGGTTTGCTAGTGTTAGGATTATTTACCTCTTGCTCATACCTCCAGGTGGCAGAGTTCCCTGGCGGCCACCCAGTACCCATCTGCCCTATTTTCTTCATTAACATCATAGCACCCATGGTACCTGAGGTGACACTATGCTCACTGAAAGGGACACATTTCCTTGATCACGTGGCCCAATGGTGATTAGTGAAATAAAAAGACGTGTTATATGGAACCTCCGGGAAGGTTGTTTCAGAGTAGCCGAGGAAAGCCCCCTTCTTCCCACTGTCCTCCTTACTTGTTTAAGCCACTATTATTTTATAGACATCCTATTCACATTCAGTCCAAAGCCTTAAAGTAAATTCAAAATCTTAACACACCTATGTCTGCACCAGATCCTGGGCTATTTGAGGGCTCATGTTATATGAATCACT